TATTTACAATTATTAATTTTAATAGTTGTACACACTGATATTGTATTTTTCTTAATTTATTACTATTTATCTCTTGTAATATAATTTTGTTAATTAATTTTACAATTGTTTAAATTAATCTATATCCAATGAAAGTTTGAAAAGGGTATTACAATAATAGGAATGAAAGTGTACGATCGATTGCTCATTATCGATTGCAAGCTATCAATAGCTGATTATTGATTGTGAAATTTCAGTTTGATTGAGATAGTTATTACGACAACCAATGTACAGTATTTATTTCTACAGCAGTAAGTTGGCCTTCTATTTAATCTTTTAGCTCAGTAGATCACGTTTAGCACCGCTAGTTTAAAAATTAGAGTGAATTGACCTCTTATAAAATTTAAAGATTATTATCTAGAGCATCTCATAGGCTTTTTGTTATATTTTAATTTTAAAGTGAGTTATGAGTATTTTAAAATTGTAAATTGTTTGTACATCTTAAAATACTTATAACTCGCTTAAAAATTAAAAATATTATATAGAACAGCGCTTCTCAACCTGTGAGTGGTACGGGGAAAGCTCATAGGTGGTACGTGAAGAAAATCTCTCTTTATGAAAAAAAAATTGGAATGAATCATTATTAAAATTAAATATTGTTTGGTTTATTTGGTGGTGTGAAGGTTGTTTTTCACTAACTTTTTGGCTGGACATGAAACAAGAATACTCGGTATTGTCCATACAAGCTTTACGGTATCTAATCCCTATTTTATCAATATATCTGTGCAAAAATACATTTTCTCACTAATTGAACACAAAAAATAAATATAGAAATAGATTAAATGTAGAAAGTGATTTAAGACTTGAAGCTACCAATATGGAGCTTGATATTGAAGTCATCGTCCGTTCAAAACAACACCAACCATCACATTGAAGTAAAAAGTAAACCGTAATAAGTATAATAATTGTACATATTTAATTTAATTTCTATTTGTGCATTAAATACTTAATTGTCATCATTTTGTAATTCATAATAAAATAAAATTCTATACAATAAATAACGTAAATGTATACATTATTAATAAGCAAAAAAATGGTCAGGTGGTACGTTAAAATGTTTAAACTATGAAGGTGGTACATAAATATAAAAAGATTGAGAACCACTGATATAGTAGATTGAATCTTTTGTATTTAAATAAAAAATAGAATAATTAGTGACACCTATTAAATAAACTTTTTCTATCTTTTACATTAGCCAAAATATGCAATTACAATAATTGTAAAATTAATAAAATTATTTTAACATTACTATTATGATTTATATCAGCTCATAACTTAATGTTCTTATTCTAATAACTGGCAATTTTTTATTTTACAAGTAATTTTGTATAGGTATTTAACCTTGTAATAATTAATAAGGTTAAAAGTATTGTATTGATTTTGGTAATTATAAATATAAAATAATTATCTTTTTATTTACCTTAGTATTTTACTAAAATATTATCTATATCTAAATAAAATTATACTCAATTATCTTTATCTTGATCTAGATAAATATTTAATTACTTTTGCTAAACACTGTTTATTTATTTTTATCTATATAGAAATTATGGCAATAACAAATTCAGTTTAATTTATATTTCATATTATAATTATTCGTATTCGAAGACATTTTACAAATAATGAACATTTCAAGTACTCAATTACAGCAAAAATCTTATATACTAGATTAAGCTGATTCTGTTATTAATTGTGTCATCAAAATATTATAAGATAAACGTTCAAACATTGCTTTTTCTGACAAGTGGTCAAATGTAAAATTGTTTGCTGAATTTTATGATATACAGCTATACTCAGGTAGGTAGTATAATATATTGAAATTTTTTTTAAATTCTAACTAAAAAGTAATTCAAAATGTAATTTATTAATAATAATTTTTTATCAATTTTGAGGATCAAAAAGAAAAGAACCCAGTTATTTTAATGATATCTGTCAACCACCACTAGTGCTGAAAATATGCAAATTGAACAAACATCATAGAATATCAATGAAGAATAATTTATAGCCTAGTTATCAACTTCCAAAAAAGATTTTCATCAGAAAGCCTTAATATAATAGTTGGAGTAGACAATTTCCTTAAACTTAATTTCAATGACAGCACATGTTTCATTGAACATTATAAAGTAAAAAAGGTGGGCAAGTGGGTGTCGCTCTGCTGTACAGTAGGTTACAAGTGGGTCACTGTATAATGGATGCTATTAAATTTAAATTCAATGATACAATATCATTGTATAAGAAAAACGATTCAGAATGGTATGTCAGTCTAGGTATAAGACATATTATATACATATCTATGGTATTAAACAAAAAATTGACCTATTATAGGTACCTATTATAAATTCCAAATTAATCATATCACAATATCCATTAGGCACTGGTAACGCGTTATACATCAACAAAAACCATGATACTATCATAGATATATAATATTACACTTTAGAAGTTTCAAGTACCCACGAATAATATTATTCAATCACAACAAAATAACTAAAATAGTTATTCTAGGTTTTTTAATATGTAATTTCGTCCGAATTTGAATCTAAATGTATGTAAAAAATAATTGTGTTCATATATTTCTTAGATATTTTGGTTACAGTATGAACTATTTATGAGAACCTTTGTTTTAAATTTGCAATCTTTAGCTATAAAAACTGAACATTTTATAATTTATTAATTACAATGATTGATAATTTTCAAGATTTTGATAAATTTTGTCAAAATTCAATCTTTAAATGCTTATAAAAAAAACTGTGCCTATGTATTTTTAATATTTTTCAACTGCTATTGTAACAATATATCAGGAGCCTTGTATTACATTTTTACACTTTTTGGCCCAACATATAAAACTTTATTGATATTCATAGAAAAACAAACTAAAAAAATTTAAAAATGAAAATATCCGTAAACAGCTCAAAAAGAGTCAAAATATTTTCAAAATTGTATGGTGTATAGGAAATGCTAATATAAACATTCTGTGAAATTTTCATGTATCTACAGTTATTCGTTTTTGAATTATTACAACAAAATAAGGAAATCGCTATATGAGAAATCGAGTGAATATCCAATGTTGTAAAAATGTTGTAAAACGCTCATAAAAATTTAATTTGACTTTCTTATAGACATTTTTTTTTTTTATGAAGGTAGATAATCTTATAAGGAATCTTGTATTACATTTTAAAATCTTAGATTTAAAAAGAAAAATTTTTACGAATTCTTAACTCAATATAATTTTCTAATTTTCGTGATTTTTCCATATTTTGTTAATTTTTGAACTTTAAATGATTATAAAAAAAAACTGTGACTAACGATTTTTAATATTTTTAATCTGCCTTTGAAACAATATACTAGGAGCCTTCTATTAAATTTTCAAGTTATTTTAACCAACAAATAAAATTTTATTGATATTTCTAGAAAAAAAACTAAAAAAAAATGAAAAATGAAAATTTCCCTAAACAGTTCAAAATAAATCAAAATATTTTGAAAATGTTATCGTGTATAAAAAATGCAAATATAAACAACCAGTGAAAATTTCATGTATCTACGGTCATTTGTTTTAAAGTTACACCAAAAACCAAATTCAATTTTCTGAAAAATCAATTTTGCGTAAATATTCCCGTTTTTCCTTAATTTTTCTTTTGTTTTTCTTGGCGCTTTTGAAAAGTACTGGGAATTTTAAATTTTACCCTCCCTAATGCACTAACGATATTCACTTTCCAATCGAACAAGATACTGAAGTCGAAATCGAAGCATTATTTCGACTACTTATCGTGTACACACACAAAAAAAAAAGGTGGGTAAGTGTATGTCGCTCTGCTGTACAATAGGTTACAAGTGGGTCACTGTATAATGGATGCTATTAAATTTTAATTCAATGATACAATATCATTGTATAAGAAAAATGATTCTGAGCGAAGACGGTGTGTCAGTCTAGGCTTAAGACATATTATATACATATCTATGGTATTAAAAAAAAAATATATAAAAACACACATCATTGTAAAATCAATACATTCATCGTTCCACTCAGAATCTAAAAAACTATAAAAATTAAAATATATTTTCATATTATATTGAATTAAATATTTTAAAACTATTACATAATTTCTAGGAGTTATTGAACATTGATGTTGATGCTATAAAATTTGAAATGAAGGTAGCAAAAATCTGTTTATTAAGATTAAATGAGGAAAGTGAAATCAATATTGATGGTCTTAAACCAATTATTAATCGTATACTTTATCCAAATTAATTTAAACTTGTATAATTAGTACTTACAATACCAATAAGTTCTACATCATGTGAGATGTCATTTGTGGCCATGAGCAGGATAAAAAATTGGCTACACCCTTCTATGGAGTAAGATCGATTCACTAACTTATAGATTGATACCTACATACTTTTATTAATTGTGCTTATCTTTCTCTGTCAAACTATTCACTATTTTATCGCATATTGTACCATTAGATTTTATTTTTTTTATTTTTATTTTTTTTTTTTATTTTTAAGAGATAATATACAATCTATACAATATAGCATAATAAGTATATGTGAAAAGAGTAGTTATACATGAAAAGACTTGATTAAGAAATCACCCTATGGTAACCCTATAAAATTGAAGCAAAGATTTTATTTATAAAAATAAAATGTATGTTTGACAAAAAAACCAAGTTATATACTTAGATCAGTTTAATTATTACCGGCTTAAATACAATAGTAATAATATCATACTAAGTATGCAAAAATATGCATTAAGTTCAATATAAATCATGCTAAAACATGCAAAATAAAAATAGTACCATTTTTAGCAGAATAATATAAATTGTGGACATTACTCACTAAAACTCCATTTGGAAGTAGAAAAAAAACATGCTGTTGCATACAAATCCTGGCCTTGATCCTTATCATTTTATTTCTAAGCGGGTAAATGTATTGAGGTGGTAAATATATTTACCAGTAACCGCTTATGGAGTTTTATCTTTATCAAGTGATAAAATACAAAGTATTAATTTTAGAAAATTTTCATAAAGGTTTAATTATTATCTAGGACCTCGCGTAGGCTTTTATTGATATTATAATTTTTAAGTAAGTTATAATCATTTTCAAATGTTCAGTTTCAAAAAGGTCATAACTTACTTAAAAATAATATCAATAAAAGCCTACGTGAGGTCTAAGATAATAATCTTACCATTAAATTATAATATAATAGTTCAAGTCCAAATCTAGGTCAATATCAAAACTAACAAAACTATTGAAACTGGTGAACAAAAATTGTCTATATCGTATATGTGTAAGAGGGAGATAAAACATGCTGCTACGTCCTCTTATTAAAAAATTATCTGTGATGATAAAAATATCAAACTAACTACCACCATTTTGTGTAACCATTAAATATACCTCTTAATCCACACTGTTGTGCATTTAATGTTCCTTCTATAACATTTTTTTTTCGATCTTGTAACGACAAACGAGGAACTTCGTAATGACTAGACGGAGTATCATAAGTCATACTTCCTTCTACCACAGCCAATATTGCATATTTCATGGCATCTTGCAACCATGATTGTCGGTTTGATTTCCAAAAATAATTACGAACCATACTAATAACAAAAAATTTCAATACTATTGAAATGCTTGGGTAAATTTAACCATAGCAATGTAGTAAAACAGTACGGTGTACCTATAACTATAAGATTTTGCGCCACAAGACAATTAACAGAAACCGAGCTTCATATGAAACATTAAGTAAATAAATGAATATATCTTAACTACAAATGTAAAATATACTTAATTAGCTATTGAATAATAATAAAAACATACCTGTACAATTATTTCGATTATGAAAATTCAGTTTTTCAGATTTGATATTATTTTAGTTATCGAATGTAAAAGTATTTATCGTAATTTTTAAAAACGTGATATCAACACGACGACGTCCATTATCATATTCGATAGATAAAAATCAAAACATTTCAAATATTATTGGTGTATTCAGATTACCTCCATGATATAAATTATTGATTACATTACGATTATTCGATTTTTCCCACGATAATAAAGAACTATATTATAATATTAAGTTCTTTACACGGTATAATATCTTAAACCGTGGTTCTGTATAATCGTGATTTTGCCCCGCATACAGTAATTACTAATTATACCTACATGCTCATCAATGGAAACCGACAAGTCATACACTATACCTATATCGGCATATCGCTGAAAATCCAACGTACCTACCTACTTATTCAGACGATGTGGTGACAGAGTATTTTATTTGGTCAAATATCAGCATTCAATTAATATAAAATTTTTGTTTGTGGTTACAATGAAATCGTGCACAATAGTGATACTGACCCAGAGACCAACTTATGTAACAGAAATATTAAAAAAAATTCTTTAACTTAACCTACGCAATGTGATTTATATAACATATAGAATTTAAAAAAGAATTATGGTAGGTAAAGGTTACATTTTCAAAAATAATTGAAACTTTGTACCTATGTGAAAACTGAAAAGCCTTCTATACGATTCCAATAATTTGTGATAGGTATATTACTATTAGGGATATACCTGTCGATCTTTTGTTCGTAAACTAACGTTATAAAGTTCTGATAAATTATTACTGAAAGCTGGGTGTCAAGCTTATACGACTAAAGGTTACCCTAAATACAGGTAGAAACATATAATTTCCACATTGTCTTTAAGTTTAAGTATTTTAAATGATTCATGTTGCATATGTACGAAATTCCTTAATCTAATAACTGAATTAAAAAATTAAAATCAATAAATAAGCTTTATTACTAACTTCAATATTATTATTAGACTAATAAAAATCACAACAAATAACTAGGTTTTTTAATGTAATTTCGTCCAAATTGAACATAAATGACATAAAAGAAACGTGATTGTATATTTTTAGATTCGGTAAGAGATTAACTACTAGTGTCTTGTTTAAAATATCCTTACTATAAAACTGACATTTAAATTTTTAATTACGATGTAATAAGTTTCGAGATTTTGAAAATTCTGTCAAAATTCGTGTTAAATGCTATAAAAAAATTGTGCATGTATTTTAATATTTTTCAACTGATATTGTAACAATATATCAGGAGCCTTGTATTAAATTTTTACACTTTTTGGCCCAACAGATAAAACTTAATTGATATTTATAGAAAAAAAAATTAAAAAAATTGAAAACTGAAAATGTCCGTAAACGGCTCAAAAAGAGTCAAAATATTTTCAAAATTGTATGGTGTATAGGAAATGCTAATATAAACATTCAGTGAAATTTTCATGTATTTACAGTAATTCGTTTTTTAATTACAACAAAAAAAGGAAATTGCCACATGAGAAATCGAGTGAATATCCAATGTTGTAAAAATTTGAATTTCAAACGCTCATAAAAATTTAATTTGACTTTCCGGTAGAGATTTTTTTATTGATAAAGGTAGACAATCTTATGAGTAATCTTGTATTAGATTTTCAAATCTTAGATTTAAAAAGAAAAATTTTTACGAATTCTTAACTCAAAATAATTTGCTAATTTTCGTGATTTTTCCATATTTTGTCAATTTTTGAACTTTAAATGCTTATAAAAAAAAATTGTGACTAAGGATTTTTAATATTTTTCATCCGCCTTTGAAACAATATATTAGGAGCCTTCTATTAAATTTTCAAGCTTTCGCAACCAACAAATAAAATTTTATTGATATTTCTAGAAAAAAAACTAAAAAAAAACGAAAAATGAAAATGTCCCTAAACAGTTCAAAATAAATCAAAATATTTTGAAAATGTTATCGTGTATAGAAAATGCAAATATAAACAACCAGTGAAAATTTCATGTATATACGTTCATTTGTTTTAGAGTTACACCAATAACCAAAATCGATTTTTTGGAAAATCAATTTTGCGTAAAAATTCCCGTTTTTCCTTAATTTTTATGTTGTTTTTCCCGGCGCTTGTGAAAACTACTGGGAAATTTAAATTTTGACCTCCCCAATGCACCAACGATATTCACTTTCCAATCGAACAAGATACTGAAGTCGAAAATCGAAGCATTATTTCGACTACTTATCGTGTACACAGATACAAAAAAAATAAAAAAACACACATCATTGTAAAATCAATATACATTCATCGTTTCACTCAGAATCTAAAATTGAAAACTGAAAATGTCCGTAAACAGCTCAAAAAGAGTCAAAATATTTTCAAAATTGTATGGTGTATAGGAAATGCTAATATAAACATTAAGTGAAATTTTCATGTATCTACAGTCATTCATTTTTGAATTACAACAAAATAAGAAAATCGCCTCATGGAAAATTGAGTGAATATCCAATGCTGTAAAAATATAAATTTCAAACTCTCATAAAAATTTAATTTGACTTTTTTATATACATTTTTTTTTTATTAAAGTAGACGAACTTTTCAGGAATCTTGTATTCCATTATAAAATCTTAGATTTCCAAGTAAAAAATTTTTATGAATTATAACTCAAAATGATTTGCAATTTTCGTGATTTTTCAGTATTATGTCAAGATTTGGAAATTTAGATCCTTATAAAAAAAAAATGTGACTATGGATTTTCATCATTTTCAAATGTTATTATAAAAATATATTAGGAGCCTTGTATTAAATTTTCAAGCTCTTTACAAATACAATTTTATTGACATTCATATAGAAAAAAAAAAGTTGCTCTGCTGTACAGTAGGTTACAAGTGGATCACTGTATAATGGATGGTACCTACTAAACTTAAATTCAATGATATAATATCATTGCATAAGAAAAACGATTCTGAGTGGAGACCTTATGTCAGTCTAGGAAATAGAACATAAATATTTAAAAAAAATTGATTTATAAGTCTATAATAAATTCTAAATTAATCATATCCATTAGGTACTTATAACGCGTTATACATCAACAAAAACCCTGATACTATCATAGATATATAATAGTGTACTCTCCGCAAATTTAATTTCCGCAAAATTACGTTCCGCTGAATTATTTTCCGCACTATTATAGCCTCCCGTCGAATCAACTTAGGTTTTTTTTTAAATCTTCTATAAATTATTTATTATTGGAAAAATTTACGACAGTTGCGAACATATAATTTTATCTTAAATGGAAGGCACAAAGAGTCCCTCCTAACATGACTTTTTTGATAAAATGAAAATACATTTTTTAGGTTAATTAACTACCTACCTAGCTATTTAGTTTAAAATATAGGTACCACATAATTAAATATAATGATTTTGAAGTTTTTGAACCATTTTATAATATAAATATAAACAAATCAACCATTCTTTAGTCTAGAAATGTTTTGATTTTTAGATAATAAATTCATAAGTTTTAATTGGAAGATTTCAGGGAAGGCCAGACTGAAAAAAAAAACTTTCAAATCAAATAATATCTATTATCAATTCAAAATTAATAATAATAAGTTAGGTACCTATACATACTACTAAATACTACTACCTAAATGCAGAAAATATTCAATGTCAATACAAACATCACCACCATTCTAGACATAACTTCATATGACTTAAGAAATTTTGAAATTCGTACTTGTTTAATGTTTTATAATAAAGTGTAAGGTATTTATATTTTGTTGTCATGGATCTATTTAACTAATAACTAAATAACAGACCCTATTCACTATTCAGTATCTAATTAGTGTTCAGTAGGTATTTCAGTTAAAATGTTAAGTAGGTACCTATCTATATTACATAGTATGTATTCTTTTACATTTTTAAAAACTTTATAAATTATAAATCAACCGGTTTGAATTATGTTAATAAAAACTTGAAACAAGTCTTAAACACTTTTATTTTTAATAATAAAAGAAAAACGGAATTTGAGTAAAAATAGTTATTTTTTTTATATGTATTGTTAATGTCAAAAAAGGCTAAGCCCGTATAACTAATAAAATAATAAACATGGGCAATTTCCGATACGTCATACGTATATTTTAGATTCTGAGCGGAGCGATGAATGTACCTATTGTTTTACAATGATGTATGTTTTTTTTTTATATTTTTAGATTCTGAGCGGAGCGATGAAGTTATTGTTTACAATTGATGTATGTTTTTATTATATTTATTTTTATTTATATTTTTATATTTTGTGTCTGTATCACGTTTTAGGACAGTAAAAGTGCTTGATTTTCTTCAACAGTAGCTTTTCTGATAGGAAAGTGAATCTAGTTGGTACTTGGGGTGGTCAAAGTATAAATTTTCACGTAGTTTCACAAGCGCCGGGAAAAAACAACATAAAAATAAGGAAAAACGGGAATTTTTACGCAAAATTGGTTTTAAAAAATTGCATATAATTGGTTTAAAAAAAATATTAAAAATCCTTAGTCACAATTTTTTTTATAAGCATTTAAAGTTCAAAAATTGACAAAAATATGGAAAAATCACGAAAATTAGCAAATTATTTTGAGTTAAGACTTCGTAAAAATTTTTCTTTTTAAATCTAAGATTTGAAAATGAAACACAAGATTCCTAATAAGATTATCTACCTTTATCAATAAAAAAAATCTCTACCGGACAGTCAAATTAAATTTTTATGAGCGTTTGAAATTCAAATTTTTACAACATTGGATTTTCACTCGATTACTCATGTAGCGATTTCTTTATTTTGTTGCAATTCAAAAACGAACAACTGTAGATACATGAAAATTTCACTGAATGTTTTAAATTAGAATTTTCTAGACACCATACAATTTTGAAAATATTTCCGACTCTTTTTGAGTGTTTATGAACATTTACAGCTTTCAATTTTTTTTAGTTTTTTTTTCTACTAATATCAATAAAGTTTTTCTGTTGGGCCAAAAAGTGTAAAAATTTAATACAAGGCTCCTGATATTATGTTACAATATCAGTTGAAAAATATTAAAAATACATAGGCACAGTTTTTTTTTTATAAGCATTTAAAGATCAAATTTTGACAAATTTATCAAATTCTCGAAAATTATCAATTATTGTAATTAATAAATTATAAATGTTCAGTTTTTATAGCTAAGGATTACAAATTCAACACAAAGGTTCTCATAAATAGTTCATAGTATAACCAAAAAAAAAAAAAAAACTGAACACACTTATTTTTTACAAGTCATTTTAAATTCAAATTTGGACGAAATTACATATTAAAAAACCTAGAATAACTATTTTAGTTATTTTGTTGTGATTGAATAATATTATTCGTGGGTACTTGAAACTTCTAAAGTGTACTATTTATATATATCTATGATAGTATCATGGTTTTTGTTGATGTATAACGCGTTACCAGTGCCTAATGGATATTGTGATATGATTAATTTGGAATTTATAATAGGTACCTATTATAGGTCAATTTTTTTTTTAATACCATAGATATGTATATAATATGTCTTATACATAGACTGACATAACGTCTCCGCTCAGAATCGTTTTTCTTATACAATGATATTATATCGTTGAATTCAAATTTAATATCATCCATTATACAGTGACCCACTTGTAACCTACTGTACAGCAGAGCGACACCCACTTGCCCACCTTTTTATTGTTAGGTATATTAAAAAAATTCATAAAATGTGTATACAAGATTTCAATCATATTATTTAAGTACCTAGGTACTAATTAGTCGTATGATAGGTGTATACAATATGATTTATAACGAGTTGTTAATTTATTTTTCTTTCACTAACATAAAATAATATTAATAAAGAATATCAAAAATATTTTCTTAGTTAAAAATAATATAGTTAATGAATAATTATTATAATATACATCTTTTTTGTATATAGTTTTGTATCTTTAACGCAGCAGAGTACCTTGGACCTCGGTAGTAGCACCTAGCCACTAGCCAGTAGACCTAAGTTGTATTGTATCTTATCTAGTAAGTTGTAACCAGTGTTGATAAATACCTACCTATTTAAAGGTTTTTTTGGTGTAGAACACTTTTTAAATAATTTTCTAATATTATTGCCTTAAAACTTAATACAGTAGGTACCTACCTATTTAAAATAGCTACTTTTTCTTTAAACAAATTTTATTTTGATAACACTTGTTCAATATTATAGCTTGTTTTTCACATTACAACTTTTGTATTTTCATCAAATACTTGTACAAAAATATATTTTGTTTTAACATGGTTGTTTCTTTAAATAAATTACTAACTAAAGTGGGTAAAAGTTTTTAAACACTTTTTATAGGTATTCTTTACAAACCTGGTTGTAACTTACATATTAAGTAGGTTTACAATTTAATAATTAGAATCTTGTATTTAAAAATTATAAATTAAGTTGGTACCTATCTAGTACCTCTTACTTAATCAAACAAATTAAAAGTGTTTTGTTTTAGATACCAACTCTGTTCTAGTATATGGGTCATCCCTCAACCCTCGTTATAAGTAGATTGGTTTCATCAAAAGAACCTTTCATTAATTATGGATACTAACCTATATAATAAAATATTTAATTTAAATCTCAGAATTTCTTTTTCAATTTTAACATTTGGTATTCTTTAAAAAAAAATACAAAAGAGTAATAACTACATTTCAGTATATAACTATACACTATATTATGTACATGATGCTGACTAGGTACTTAATATGCATAATAATTGTATATAATATAAAATTTTAATTGAATAGGTATATTAATACAAAATAATGAATTATTAACAAATAGATTAAGACAAAAACATTCTTTGAAAACGAAGTACATCTCCTCGACAAACTGGGCACGTTCTACGATATTGACCATCCAACACTGAAACGCATGTTTCGCACACCCAGGCGTGACCACAAGGCAACACTATATGTTGAGCTACATTTTCACCAGGAGTAGTAGTTAAACAAACCATACAATTCCTTGGATTGTGTACTACTTCTGGTGCATTTTGTGGTACTTCTGGACCTGGTTCAACAAAGTCGTCTTCCAAAACATCATAATTTGACTCATGATCATGTTCAATACCAAGTGCCCAATGTCTTTGCCTTCTTTCATAGCCAGCACATGAGTATGAACATTTCACTAGAAATTGCCATACACTTAATAGACCTGCTTCATGATGTTCAACAGCTCTTTTTATCAACCTTGAGTTAAGAAGGTATTAGTTTAAGGTTCCTTGTTGGTTGCAGACCATTGGAAATTTGAGTAACCGTCGTGTGGTACTTTTGGCTCAACACACATATTTGACCTGATGATTTAACCAAATTTATTATTATAATAATTATTTATAATATATTATGTGTTTATTATACGAACATAATATAATAATATGTATATAATGTTTATAACAATATAACTTATAAAATATAATAATATATAGCTCATAGACACATTAATATGTATATGTTAATATTTATATGTCTATGACATAGCTTCATATTATCAAATTATGCAGTTTAGCAAACAGTCAAAGATTGTCTTAACATCACGGTTTAAAATCTTAAATCATGCTTAATGAAACACTTTTCATCAAATTTAAAATTATACTGAATTCAATATTATAAATGGTATAGGTAGGTAGGTATTTAATATTTATGGTTAAGGCTTAAATTTAATAAATATTATGTGCATGATTTTCAAAGTGCCAACTCATAGAACTATAAAGAATATTGAATTAAACACATACATTTGTAGTTAAATGCCTATATTATATAATTTGTAAAGTGACTCTAATAAATGTTTACTTTATAGTTTAAACCATTTATAACAAGTAATCATAAATGATAATATACCTAGCTAAAAGCTTAAATTTATTTAATGTTGATTTTTTGGAAAGTGACACAATATTTTTAAATTCTGCTATGAGAATGTAATGAGGGCCCATCTGGGAAATGGCACACCAAATATATGAGGTACAACTAAATACTAAATAGTCAATTAAATGTTCAACACCTTTGCAAATTATTTTAATATTATACACTAATACACATTGTACAGTATAGTGTTTACTTGACATTAAGACTTTAGGTATAATATTACCCACACCTATTTTTACCTATATACCAATATTGGTAGTATTATATTTTAAAATAGTTAGGTATGTATTCAAGAACTTATGGTATAGCATAAAACAACCACTGAAACACTCAAAGGTACATTCTAATTTTAGATCCAAACTTGAAAATTGAAACCTATGTTAATTGAATTTACTATTGTGTGGATTTCATCTGGTGATATAATAAAAAGTTCTATTGCTAATGGCCATTGTTGCCGATACTTTAGACTAGTTTAGACCAATAAAAAAAGAAAAAAGTTATATTTTATTGACAAAAATAAAATAAAATGTATTAAAAGATATTGTTTTTTAATATTGAAAAGGTGTTGTTTCTAGTTTTTACATAGATAAAAAATGGAAATTAATTTAAACTTACCAAGAAAGACACATAAATTTGGATGTGCAATGGAAAACTTGTGTCTCAAAAAGTTATGAAAGCTCTCCAAGTTGTTATTTGTCCTTCTTGAGACACCATTTACGGATATGATGTTAACTCCGACACGTCGTATCCAGTAACTTTAAAGTTTAACCATAATAAAAATTGTGTATTTTAATAATTGAAACACATTTATATAGTACATACAATTATTATGATGTAATACTTTTGGTAATATTCAAACAGGTTAGTTAATGGAACGTTGTGGTGGATAGCATATGTTTTAGTCAGTAGAAAACCTTGTTCAATTTCTGCACTGGGTAATAATGGCAAACACATTAGAATTTTTAAAGTCTTCAAAGCATATGTATTTGAATTAACGGTTTCTAAATAATTTAATGATTTCATTTTTTTCCATACTGCCTGTAAATTAAATTTATATTAAAATTAAAAAATATTAAGTGATAAATATATTACTTATAACTATTTATACTGAACTTCTACATTTTGTTTTGTTATAGTTATAAAACTTTAAGAGGAAGTAATAGGTAACCTAATTTGCTGTCTCCACCTATCTAACGAGTATAAAATACACCATATTTGAGAAAATGACATAAGTATTTGTAAAATATTATTGTTTTAATGTAGAAATTAGTAATATTATTTCAAGACTGGAAAATTTACAACACAATTAATTTTATTTTAGAAAAAAACATAATATTTTATCAAAAAGGATAATAAATATTTAAAAATTAAAAAATATTTTTATAGTCTCTTATACTAACCTAACCTAACTTTTATAGTCTTATTCAAATTTAGTAGACAATAGGTGTAGAAACTCAAATTTCAACCCAGAGTATTACTTTTATTTCATGCAATGTAATTTTGCTATATTTCCCGTTAATTTAGGACTAGACAGCATAAGCGGGTGCCGGTTATCAGTCAGATATAAAATTATGCTAATGCATAGAAAAATGTCCAAAATGCAATATTTAACAATAAAACTTATTTATAAAAAAGTAACAAATTATTTTATTCACAAATTAAAACATTTACTCTTCTCTAAAAATGTAAATGTTTATAAATAAAAAACTTAAATCTACATTTGATTTGTGTATATAGGTACCTATATAAACTTTTTTGGAAAAATAATCTAAATTGGTTTATGGACCAACTTAAAGTACTAATCAACATTAGATATACTGACCTGATTATGATGGAACCAACACCCTAAGACACGTGTCCCTTCAACACCTACACTAGAAGATAATGCATCTCTAAGTGCTGGTTCAAAATCAGTCATTATCAATTACGGCGATAAGTTGGGAAATAAATTGTTTTTCATATGATTAATAATATGATTAATAATCCATCATGCATTTATACGAGTTTCTTGATTTTGTTTCCATTAACGCATAGGCTATTGGTATCGACTGCAAAATAAAATATCATGTTTTAACTACAATAATTAACTACAACAGAAAATGTTAATTAATTAGGTATTAATTAACATTTTCTGTTAGGTAGGTATTGTATATCAAAATAATAATAATTAATAACTAAATCAAAAATAATTATTAAAACTTAACTCAATATAAAATTAAATATCACTTACAACATTATCCATCATAAAATGAATACTCAGCAGTTGACTGCCCATATTAGTAGGTACTACTTTAAATGTAGCATCCGCGTGGACCTCGGTTATGCCATGTGACAGAACTAAATTAATTAAGTGTCTACATGCTAATATAACACTGTATTTACCTAAACATACATTTTTTATCTTAGTAATCCAGATATAATACTTTATTTCTCTATACATTTTATTACACAATTTAAATTAATAGGTACCTAGCATATATAAATATAAATATTATAAAATACAATATATTATTATAATGAACTAAATAATCATATTATGGGCCTACTGTCCATGTAGGTATTGTGATCTATTAATTATTGTAACTAGAATTTAATTTAACTGATACAAATTATGGGTTCTGAATGTTTCATAATATATTTATCAAATATAAAGTATAACATAGGTATCATCACAAAAATTCCTAGTAAATTTTAAGAAAATGTATTTACAAATAGTAATTACAAAAGATAAAACTAAAATTGTATATCCAGATACCTACTACCTATAGATTATTAGACAGAAAAAACTAAGAATCTTTGAAGAATCAAATTTTGACAATATTGTCATCAAAACTTTAAATTCTGCAAGGTACCTATAATTTGACTATTGTAAAAACAATTAAAAATTAAATATAAATATTACCATCAGAATCTCTAACTGATCCACTAAATATGGAATTGTTGCAACACATATATCTTGATAAATCTCCATTATCGAATTTGACAGCTAACTCATGCAACGATTGAGGCAGAGCTGGTAGGGAAGATCTCCTAACAGAGCGCATTATACTTTCTGCAGTTGACCAGGGATAAAGACCAGCAGCAACTCTGTGTCTAAAATACATTAATATATATTAGCATGATCAAGTAGGATACTCAAAAATGTATAGTATATAGTACAAGATATAATTATTAATAAAAGAACAATATTTTTTAATGATATTATTCAATACATGTACTATGTATATGAGTTACCTTTGTGCTTCATCATCATAAATTAGTTTCAATGAGATGTTTTCATTTTTAGATCGTTTCTTCAATGCATCTCTAAATAAAACAATCAGATTTGATTGATTGTCTCTATTTGCAATGTGTGCTCTTGAATGTGGTTTTAATTCAGAAAATGTACCATCAACGTTTTTCCTAGCAGTTCCATCACATAGAACTCCGTAGATTTTGTACATTTATAGTAACTAAAAATATTAAAGTCATTAATATAAAACATGGTGAATGATTAGGGATGAATGCAGTTTAGCTCAAGAGATTTTTGTGATTTTTTTGTTTGAAAATATGTGGTTTTGCAAGTATGTTTATGATGGAGCTTTCAAAAAAATTCAAATCTCCTTTGGAAATGACGGTAAAAAAGTCTTCATAACTCTCAAGTCGTGTTTGCAAGTTTGAAGTGCCTACCAAAAAAATTACATTTTTGAATTTTTTTTCGTAAATTTGTATTTTTTTCACCTCAACAAAAATGGCGGAATCAGAAGTTTTTATGTTATTGGTAATAAAATAATTTCAAAAGAAATGAAAGATGTGAAGGGTTGACGAATGGGAATATTGTGAAATTAAATAATGATTATAAATGATTAGGTAGGTATATTTATAAATTATAATAATATTATAGTGTTAAAATAGCTTTCGGAACTTCTTGCATTTGCATGTTTTTTGTAGTCGTCGTAGTCAGTAAATTATTCTAGGTAAATTATAAATTTGTTTTATGAAATGGCAAAATTAAATATAAAGTTTGAATTTGAATATTTTTGCATATGTCGTTATATTTTAGGAAAAGCCCTGCATGTTTGAACAATTTCTAACATATTTGTGCACTGCTTGCATTTTTTTTTTATTTAAATTACTTAAAATTTTATTTTCGAGTTTTTTATTTCTAATCCTTTTTTCAAAAATAATACAAAAATTTAGATGCATAGGTATATTTAAGCATATTTTGAAAATTTTTACTGCATATTTCGATGACTATTAGTGCAAAAAGTCCCGAACCTTAGTTATAAATAAAATATGCAAAATACTAAACTTCTAAAGGATATAAGTTATACTTTGAAACTATCTAAGTCCAACCGATAAATTCTGATTGCACCATTGTTCTTCAATGGTTGAAAAAAGTACAATGGTTTCAGGAAAAAAATAGCTAAACAGGATTTATGCCTAATAAAAATCAAAATTCGATCAACTGTTAATTGATTTTTAATTTTTAAATATTTGTTTCATGTTTGTAGTGTGTAACCTATTATTCCTATAGTTCATACAAGGTAGGTATACAGTAATATATTATTATATTTTGTTACTTACGCGATTCCATTTTTTTTCCCATTATGCCTGTACATAAAACCATTTAAGAACATGATTATAATATATATAATATAATATTATATTATAATTAAATCGGAAAAAACTCGAGAAATTGACACTTAACAATTTGCAGTACCAATAAAGTATGCGAACCGTATTGAATCGTATGAGTGTATGACGGTTATACGGCTATGTTTATTAACGAGCGGATAATATATTTGTGGTTGTATTTATTTTTATAATATGAGTATAATATTAATAAGACTACACTGTCTAGTTTTTCAACGTTATTTCCAAATTCCAATATCAGCCCGATTCATCGAACTTCAAATTACCAATTAGAACGTCTGAACGTGTTACATAATAATCAACTCTACCTATAGTCTATACCTACCATTATTCAATATATAAATTTAATAATCGGCGTTTGTTGATAATATGTTGGCTTATATAGTTATAACTTATATTTACGGTTTTTAATATTTTGGTTTTTGGTTTTTGCTCTGATGTTACTTTTTATTTCAACACTGGTCATTTATTATATCATCGTTTTTTAGTTTTTAAGAGGACTCTACACCCGCATGTGTTGTCCCCGTCTTATAAAATATGTAGAAAATAACAAAACTGTTTTGCGAGGGTAAGAACCACTCAGATTGTAGTCCAAGTTAATCAACCAATTTTCGCACTACAAAGAGAAGAACATTGACTGTGCAACATTGTTTTTAATTTTTCGATATCATAAATACAATAAAAGCTCTTATTGTTAAAAATTGATTATTTTTGAGTTTTTTGAACTTGAATAACTTTTTTTTAGTTCTGATATCGAAAAAATAAAAGCAACGTTGCACAATTAAATATGTTCTCCTTTTTATAGTGTGAAAATCTGGTTGCTTAGCTTGGACTATAGTTCGAGTGATTCTTAACCGCGCAAAACAGTTTTTTCTATGTTTTACATTTGAAAGACGGAGACACCACATGAGGGTGTAGCCGTAGAGTCCTCTTGAAATAATTAATTATTATTATACCTATAATAATATAATTAATAAATTATTAATATATTTTTATAATATAATCGTATTTCTTACTTTTGTATTTTTTAATTTTCAACTTACAGCACTATAGTATCACATAACCTCTACTAAATACTAATCGATACAAGTATAGGTAGGTATTCTATAACGTGAACGGAGTAGGTATAGCTATTATAGCCTATAATCTATACCCCACACAGCAATATTCAATCACATTAAGGTGATCACTGATCACATTAAAAAAACAAAAACTAAGATGATATCTTATTATTTCCGATATCTTCTTTCACTACTTATATTCTTTGGTACCGCAGTATAGCTAGAACATTTGTCTATGTGAGGTGGGAGGGGGAGCTTAATTTTTTTTGTGTTTCAAAAATTGGAAAATATGATGTCACAAGTTCCTCTTAAGATGATCTTACAACGATTTAAAACAATCGAATAAACATCATTGGGCATTCGTGCACTGTTACACACTATAGGCAAATTGTTCAAGCACTTGGACGTGTTTTTAAAACGCCGAAAACATACAGTTTGAATTATATAGCCTATTTTGGATAAGACCATTCACATTTGACACTTAGTAAACAGCTTTTCTGTTATTATTTTAATTTTTTTTTTCAATTTTAGATTTTCATAGACGCAAATAGCGAATAGCAAATAGCGAGATTTGGGGTAGCTAAAACCCTACTTTAATTTTAATGAAAAGCTTATGAACATTTTTGTGGGCGATTGGCCCCTTAAGCCCCCACCCTATTTGGGACTGAGGTTTGTATATTCCTGGTTAAAATAATTAAATTAGAAACGATTTTTATTTAATAATCGCATGATTCATGAATATTGAATTAGAACATTTTATTATTATAATACCGTTATAAAGTATACATAATATTATGAACGTAAAGTTGGCCCATCCGCTTTGGAGTATCAGTATTATAGATATCGACACAAAACCTTTATCAATATTTTGCGAGAATTGGTGAAAAACTGAGACATAAGTACATAACCACATAGGCAGCAGACCTATATTTGGCATGTCGCGAGCACACGCTAAATATAATATGGAATATTTCTTCTTTACCAGGCTACTATTTTTTTTTTTTTTTTTGAAACACATACCTATAACCTATTATAATAGTGTAATCGTAGATAATTATTAAAAATCGAAAAATTTGCCAAATTCAAAATGTATATAGGTATCCGTGCATGATTATTCATACTGCACTATAATTATTTCAAAACTAATGATTTGCGCAATTTATTGTTGTCTATTTATACCGTACATCGTACACAATATCGTGTTATTTTCAAGACTGCAGTT